ACAGTCGTCTAACAGTTGGCGACGGCAGGAGGCTTAATGTGTCAAAAAATAACATCTCTGACAGTCAAAAATAACATCTCTGACTGTCTTCTTACAGTTCTCTACCGTAAGAGGACTAGTGTGTCAAAAATACCATCACTGACAGTCGTCTTACAGTTCTCTACTGAGCGTGTCAAAAATAACATCTCTGACTGAGCGTGTCAAAAATACCATCACTGACAGTCGTCTTACAGTTCTCTACTGAGCGTGTCAAAAATAACATCTCTGACTGTCTTCTTACAGTTCTCTACCGTAAGAGGACTAGTGTGTCAAAAATAACATCTCTGACTGTCTTCTTACAGTTCTCTACTGAGCGTGTCAAAAATAACATCTCTGACTGTCTTCTTACAGTTCTCTACCGTAAGAGGACTAGTGTGTCAAAAATAACATCTCTGACTGTCTTCTTACAGTTCTCTACTGAGCGTGTCAAAAATAACATCTCTGACTGTCTTCTTACAGTTCTCTACCGTAAGAGGACTAGTGTGTCAAAAATACCATCACTGACAGTCGTCTTACAGTTCTCTACTGAGCGTGTCAAAAATAACATCTCTGACTGTCTTCTTACAGTTCTCTACCGTAAGAGGACTAGTGTGTCAAAAATACCATCACTGACAGTCGTCTTACAGTTCTCTACTGAGCGTGTCAAAAATAACATCTCTGACTGTCTTCTTACAGTTCTCTACCGTAAGAGGACTAGTGTGTCAAAAATACCATCACTGACAGTCGTCTTACTGAGCGTGTCAAAAATAACATCTCTGACTGTCTTCTTACAGTTCTCTACCGTAAGAGGACTAGTGTGTGAAAAATAACATCTCTGACTGTTTTCTTACAGTTCTCTACTGAGCGTGTCAAAAATAACATCTCTGACTGTCGTCTTACAGTTCTCTACCGTAAGAGGACTAGTGTGTCAAAAATAACATCTCTGACAGTCGTCTTACAGTTCTCTACTGAGCGTGTCAAAAATAACATCTCTGACAGTCGTCTTACAGTTCTCTACTGAGCGTGTCAAAAATAACATCTCTGACAGTCCTTTTTCAATTCTCTAACGTAGGAGGACTAATGTGTCAAAAATACCATCACTGACAGTCGTCTTACAGTTCTCTACTGAGCGTGTCAAAAATAACATCTCTGACTGTCTTCTTACAGTTCTCTACCGTAAGAGGACTAGTGTGTCAAAAATACCATCACTGACAGTCGTCTTACAGTTCTCTACCGTAAGAGGACTAGTGTGTCAAAAATAACATCTCTGACTGTCTTCTTACAGTTCTCTACTGAGCGTGTCAAAAATAACATCTCTGACTGTCGTCTTACAGTTCTCTACCGTAAGAGGACTAGTGTGTCAAAAATACCATCACTGACAGTCGTCTTACAGTTCTCTACTGAGCGTGTCAAAAATAACATCTCTGACTGTCTTCTTACAGTTCTCTACCGTAAGAGGACTAGTGTGTCAAAAATACCATCTCTGACAGTCGTCATACAGTTCTCTACCATAGGAGGACTAGTGTGTCAAAAATACCATTACTGACAATAGTTTTATGGTTCTCTGCCAAAGGAGGCTGAACATGTCAAAAATATCATCACTGACAGTCTTCTTACAGTTCTCTGCCGAAGGAGGCTTAACGTAACAAAAATACCATCACTGACAGTCTCTACCGTAAGAGGACTACTGTGTCAAAAATAACATCTCTGACTGTCTTCTTACAGTTCTCTACCGTAAGAGGACTAGTGTGTCAAAAATACCATCACTGACTGTCGTCTTACAGTTCTCTACCGTAAGAGGACTAGTGTGTCAAAAATACCATCACTGACAGTCGTCTTACAGTTCTCTACTGAGCGTGTCAAAAATAACATCTCTGACTGTCTTCTTACAGTTCTCTACCGTAAGAGGACTAGCGTGTCAAAAATACTATCACTGACTGTCGTCTTACAGTTCTCTACTGAGCGTGTCAAAAATAACATCTCTGACTATTTTCTAACAGTTCTCTGCCGTAAGAGGACAAGTGTGTCAAAAATAACATCTCTGACTGTCTTCTTACAGTTCTCTACCGTAAGAGGACTAGTGTGTCAAAAATACCATCACTGACAGTCGTCTTACAGTTCTCTACTGAGCGTGTCAAAAATAACATCTCTGACTGTCTTCTTACAGTTCTCTACTGAGCGTGTCAAAAATAACATCTCTGACTGTCTTCTTACAGTTCTCTACCGTGTCAAAAATGTGTCAAAAATAAGCGTGTCATCTCTGACTGTCTTCTTACAGTTCTCTACCGTAAGAGGACTAGTGTGTCAAAAATACCATCACTGACAGTCGTCTTACAGTTCTCTACTGAGCGTGTCAAAAATAACATCTCTGACTGTCTTCTTACAGTTCTCTACCGTAAGAGGACTAGTGTGTCAAAAATACCATCACTGACAGTCGTCTTACAGTTCTCTACTGAGCGTGTCAAAAATAACATCTCTGACAGTCGTCTTACAGTTCTCTACTGAGCGTGTCAAAAATAACATCTCTGACTGTCTTCTTACAGTTCTCTACCGTAAGAGGACTAGTGTGTCAAAAATACCATCACTGACAGTCGTCTTACAGTTCTCTACGGAGCTAGTGTGTCAAAAATAACATCTCTGACTGTCTTCTTACAGTTCTCTACCGTAAGAGGACTAGTGTGTCAAAAATAACATCTCTGACTGTCTTCTTACAGTTCTCTACCGTAAGAGGACTAGTGTGTCAAAAATACCATCACTGACATTCGTCTTACAGTTCTCTACTGAGCGTGTCAAAAATAACATCACTGACAGTCGTCTTACAGTTCTCTACTGAGCGTGTCAAAAATAACATCTCTGACTGTCTTCTTACAGTTCTCTACCGTAAGAGGACTAGTGTGTCAAAAATAACATCTCTGACTGTCTGTCAAAAATAACATCTCTGACTGATTTCTTACAGTTCTCTACTGAGCGAGTCAAAAAAAACATCTCTGACTGTCCTCTTACAGTTCTCTACCGTAAAAGGACTAGTGTGTCAAAAATACCATCACTGACAGTCGTCTTACAGTTCTCTACTGAGCGTGTCAAAAATAACATCTCTGACTGTCTTCTTACAGTTCTCTACCGTAAGAGGACTAATGTGTCAAAAATAACATCTCTGACTGTCTTCTTACAGTTCTCTCTAGTGTGTCAAAAATAACATCTCTGGTCGTCTTACAGTTCTCTAGTGTGTCAAAAATACCATCACTGACAGTCGTCTTACAGTTCTCTACTGAGCGTGTCAAAAATAACATCTCTGACAGTCGTCTTACAGTTCTCTACTGAGCGTGTCAAAAATAACATCTCTGACTGTCTTCTTACAGTTCTCTACCGTAAGAGGACTAGTGTGTCAAAAATACCATCACTGACAGTAGTGTGTCAAAAATAACATCTCTGACAGTCGTCTTACAGTTCTCTACTGAGCGTGTCAAAAATAACATCTCTGACTGTCTTCTTACAGTTCTCTACCGTAAGAGGACTAATGTGTCAAAAATAACATCTCTGACTGTCTTCTTACAGTTCTCTACCGTAAGAGGACTAGTGTGTCAAAAATACCATCACTGACAGTCGTCTTACAGTTCTCTACTGAGCTTGTCAAAAATAACATCTCTGACTGTTTTCTGACAGTTCTCTACCGTAAGAGGACTAGTGTGTCAAAAATAACAGCTCTGACTGTCTTCTTACAGTTCTCTACCGTAAGAGGACTAGTGTGTCAAAAATAACAGCTCTGACTGTCTTCTTACAGTTCTCTACCGTAAGAGGACTAGTGTGTCAAAAATACCATCACTGACAGTCGTCTTACAGTTCTCTACTGAGCGTGTCAAAAATAACATCTCTGACTGTCGTCTTACAGTTCTCTACCGTAAGAGGACTAGTGTGTCAAAAATACCATCACTGACAGTCGTCTTACAGTTCTCTACTGAGCGTGTCAAAAATAACATCTCTGACTGTCTTCTTACAGTTCTCTACCGTAAGAGGACTAGTGTGTCAAAAATAACATCTCTGACAGTCGTCTTACAGTTCTCTACTGAGCGTGTCAAAAATAACATCTCTGACTGTCTTCTTACAGTTCTCTACTGAGCGTGTCAAAAATAACATCTCTGACTGTCTTCTTACAGTTCTCTACCTGACAGTGTGTCAAAATACCATTACTGACAGTCGTCTTACAGTTCTATTGTAGTGTGTCAAAAATACATCATCTACTGTTCCCTACAGCGTGTCAAAAATATCATCTCTGACAGTCGTCTTACAGTTCCCTACCTGAGCTAGTGTGTCAAAAATAACATCTCTGACTGTTTTCTTACAGTTCTCAAAAATACACGTATAAACAGTGTGTCAAAAATAACAACTGACTGGTCTTACAGTTCTCTACTGAACACAGTGTCAAAAATAACATCTCTGACTGTCGTCTTACAGTTCTCTACCGTAAGAGGACTAGTGTGTCAAAAATACCATCACTGACAGTCGTCTTACAGTTCTCTACTGAGCGTGTCAAAAATAACAGATTCTCTACCCACACCAAAGATACATCTTTATCAGATTCTCTACCCACACCAAAGATACATCTTTATCAGATTCTCTACCCACACCAAAGATACATCTTTATCAGATTCTCTACCCACACCAAAGATACATCTTTATCAGATTCTCTACCCACACCAAAGATACATCTTTATCAGATTCTCTACCCACACCAAAGATACAATTCTGTTACATGGCTCACTATACATGATCATTTGTATCAATGAGCATTCCTAGAAATGTACATGAGGCAGTGGAGTCATTGCTCTACTTAAGGTGTATTTGTAACTAAATTCACATAAAACGTTTCTTGATAAAAACCTTAAGGACTAATAGGTGATACGCTCTGTCAGTATTCTGTAGTCAACGAGTTTTGTCACAACACTTAATGCCACATTTTAGTTGTTATGAAAAGGAAATCTTACCCGCAGCATTGCAGTCCGTTTCTGGTGCAGTGACATTCGGAACACTCACTGGTACGGAACCTGGAGCCCGGTATCACAGATAATTTTACAGTTGAGTTACCTCTTCCGACTTCGTAATCACAATAGTACTTCTTAGTCCCGAATACTGCAAAATATTGAAGCAATGTAAATTACCAACGTTTTCTTTTATGATATAAACCAATATTCATTCAGAAAAAAAAAACACACAATGAAATGTCGATGAACGAGAAACGAATGAAAGGAAAAATGCGAAACAAAGACAAACTATTATAGATATATTGGAATATATATATATATATGTTCATTAAATGTCGATGGTATTCTGACAAGGAGTAAATATCCGGAATTTTCCGAATTTATGTGTGGAATGCATATTATTTGTCTTTGTGAAACAAAGGTGAACGATTACCAAAAATTTGAAATACCAGGCTACAAAATTGTGTATAATAATCGTAAGCAAAAAACAGTGAAATCGTCCGGTGGTACTGCATGTGCTGTTAAAGATGATATAATTGATCATGTCACGTTTCTACCCAGTAAATCTGAGTTTATTTCTTGGTGTGTAATTTCAAAGCTAATACTAAATACCGATTGTTATGTTTACCTCGGAATGGTTTATTTACCACCTGAGGGTTCTAAATATGCGATAGAAACCATGTGGGACGAATTAAAATGGAAGTAACTCGTATAAAAACTTTAACAAATAGTATAATGTTGACGAGTGACTTTAATGCTCGAACAGGCTTACAATGTTACTATGTCGTTTTTGATAATTTTTTGATGAACACTGTAGGTATTAATCTAGACGATAATGATCTGAACACTGTTAATACTTTAACCCAACAAAATATCCCACTCCAACGAGCAAATGAAGATAAATCTACGAACAACTTTGGTTATAAACTTATAGAGATCTGTAAAAAATTTAATTTGTACATAGTCAACGGCAGACTTGGTAAAGATCTGGGTGTTGGTAAAGCTGCAAGTAATAATATTACTACGATTGATTATTTGATTGTTTCTCCAAACTTATTTGTAAAATAACAGAATTTGAAATCTTGGACCATTCATGTTTATTATCTGATGTTCATAGCCCTATTGTGTTTACTTTGACAAGAGAAATAGAAACATATGATAATTCTGTATCTGACAACGGTTGTAAAGCATATAAATGGCAAAAGGAGAAAGCTGGTATATTCGTTAATAACATTTCTATCGACGGACTAGAACAACGCTTGAACAATGTGCCAACTGTGGTTGATAAAGAATTTGTGAATTCTGTGGCTTATATTGTCAGCGATGTTTTCAGAACAAGTTCAAATATGACGTTTCCACAACGAAAAAAGACAAACAAACTGTCCAATACAAATAAAACTTGGTTCGGCACAGAGTGCAAAAGTGGTAGGAAACACTATCACATCGCAAGGAAAAAGTTCAATAACAATAAAAGTGAAGCGAACAAAAGAAATCTACTTGGGTGTAGTAAACGCTACAAAAGATGTATGAACAAACATATAAGAAAATACAACACAGATATGTGTAATGAACTAAGGAAAATGATAACAAAGGACCCTAAACAATATTGGAGTTTATTGAACAAATATATGAACAAAAACGAAAAAACAAGGTGACACTTGACGATATGTATACGTATTTCCGGGACTTGAATAAATCGGATGATGTCAGTGGCAGACAGGATGAAAGATATTTTACACCCAATGAACAAGAAAACATACTATTGAATGGATTAATAACGGAAGAGGAAATTAAATGTGCGATAAAAAAACCTAAAAACTGGCAAATCAGCAGGACTCGACGGAGTGTTGAACGAACATATGATAGCGTCTCAACATATATTTCTACCCTTATATGTAAAGTTTTTCAATCTAATTCTGAACTCCGGCTGTATACCCGATTCGTGGCTCGAAGGATACATATGTCCTATTTACAAATGTGGTGATTCTACACAACCAGAGAACTATAGGCCTATTACGATATTAAGTTGCTTAGGTAAACTGTTCACGGCGATCCTGAACAAGCGTCTCGGCGACTATGTTAGCCAGTATAATATTAATAGCGAGACACAGACGGGCTTCCGTAGTGGATACAGTACACTAGATAACATGTTTGTTTTACATTCATTAATTGATATTCTAAAACATGGTAAAAAGAAATTATACTATGCCTTTATAGATTTTTCAAAAGCCTTTGATACCGTTTGGCGTCTAGGCTTATGGCAAAAGTTAATACAATATGGTAAAAACGGAAAAGTGTATAATATTATTGTTAATATGTATAATGGTATTAAATCATGTATAAAAATAAATAATACCAATTCAGCTTTTTTTCCATGTGAAACCGAAGTAAGGCAAGGCGAAAATATGTCTCCCATACGTTTTTCGGTATTTCTGAACGATCTAGAGGGTTTTTTCACTACACAAAGGTTGTGAGGGTGTAACTCTGAACGATAGAGAAATGTTGGATATGTGTATAAAGTTTACCGTTTTATGTTACGCCGATGATACTATTGTTATGGCAGATAATGCGACGGATCTACAATATAATCTAGATATGTTTAATGAATATTGTAATACATGGAAACTCAAACTTAATGTAAATAAAACAAAGATAGTTATTTTTGGTAGTAGAGGTACACCGAACCACCATTTTAGAATGGATGGGAAGGATATAGAAATTGTAGACCATTACAAATATCCTGGTATTGTATTTAAACAAAGTAGGAATTTCGCAGAAGCGAAAATTAATCTTGTACGACAGGCTACAAAAGCCAGGTGTGCTCTGTATACTAGAATTCATAGTTTAAGATTACCTGTTGACTGTCAATTAATACTTTTTGACCAAACAATTGTTCCTATATTGTTATACGGATGTGAAATCTGGGGTTTCACAAGCACAGCCTGAATAGAAAAAGTACATTTAGATTTTTTGAGAAATGTACTTGGTGTTAAAAAAAAGTACACCGAGATATATGTTGTATGGTGAGACCGAACGTGTCCCACTAAGTGTACATATCAAAACACGGATGGTTACTTACTGGGCTAGAATTGTCGAGTCACATGACTGTAAACTTGCTCACATAGTGTACAATTTTTTGTTGAAATACAATTACTTTAACAATTGCCAGTCTCAGTGGTTACAAGCAGTAAAGTCTACATTGGACAATTGTGGTATGAGTAATATTTGGCATAGTCAATCTTTTTAAAATGTGAATTGGCTGAAGTATACTATCAAACAAAGGTTGTTTGACCAGAACTTTCAGGAATGGCAACAACAAATTGCTAATTCTAACAAAGGAAAAATGTATAGTTTAATAAAGTCTGATTTAAAAATTGAAAATTATCTTATCTCAACCTTACCCGCTCACTATGTAAAGTGTTTTTCCAAATTTAGAACAACAAACCATCGTCTCCCTATTGAAGTTGGAAGATGGAACAATATAACACGGGAAAATAGGAAATGTGTTTTATGTAATAGCAACGAAATTGGCGATGAATATCATTATGTATTAGTCCGTAATTACTTCTCTAATTTAAGAAACATTTTCATAGGTACACAATATTATGTAAATCCAAATGTACGTTAATTCATTAAGATTATGACAACAAACAATTTAAATGAACTGTTGAACTTGTGTAAATTTATTTCACATATTATGAAGCTTTTTTTAAGTACATAACCCAAACTACTTTGTTATTAATTAGTACAATGTATACAGGTATATCATGCTAACTACGTTATGTTGTATATCAATGCAATTATGTCAATCCTCATATGTCATGTATGATCTGAGGTTAATTAAATAAAGAAATCTGAAATCTGAAAAGCACAAGGAAAATATAACGAGTTGTTCTGGAAGACTAAATGGTTTCAGCTTCATCTGCAACACCCGAGAGGTATATCTAGGTCAATCACAGCAAATATTCCACCTTCTGCTTCATCAACGACACTCGCCGGGTATACCTAGGTCAATCCCAGCAAATATTCCACCTTCTGCTTCATCAACGACACCCGCCGGGTATACCTAGGTCAATCCCAGCAAATACTCCACCTTCGGCTTCATCAATTACACCCGCCAGGTATATCTAGGTCAATCACAGCAAATATTCCACCTTCTGCTTCATCAACGACACCCGCCGGGTATACCTAGGTCAATCCCAGCAAATATTCCACCTTCGGCTTCATCGATTACACCCGCCAGGTATATCTAGGTCAATCACAGCAAATATTCCACCTTCGGCTTCATCAACGACACCCGCCGGGTATACCTAGGTCAATCCCAGCAAATATCCCACCTTCTGCTTCATCAACGACACCCGCCAGGTATATCTAGGTCAATCACAGCAAATATTCCACCTTCGGCTTCATCAATTACCTTCGGCTTCATCAACGACACCCGCCGGGTATACCTAGGTCAATCCCAGCAAATATTCCACCTTCTGCTTCATCAACGACACCCGCCGGGTATACCTAGGTCAATCCCAGCAAATATCCCACCTTCTGCTTCATCAACGACACCCGCCAGGTATATCTAGGTCAATCACAGCAAATATTCCACCTTCGGCTTCATCAATTACACCCGCCAGGTATATCTAGGTCAATCACAGCAAATATTCCACCTTCTGCTTCATCAACGACACCCGCCAGGTATATCTAGGTCAATCCCAGCAAATATCCCACCTTCTGCTTCATCAACGACACCCGCCAGGTATATCTAGGCCAATTTTAGTGATGTTTCACCCTTTTTCATCAATGAAGACACTGTGAGTAACATCTTAGTCAATTTCAACGATTATTCAAAATCTTATTCTTTTTACGATAAGAACTATTTTCCGATTTGCTGGAGACAACTTCAGGTGTTCAATATACAACACAGTATTCCTTTGTAACCTGGATTTTTTACACTTAGATGATATAGGCAATGTTTTGGTACGTATGTTTATCGAATATCAGATAGTAAGATCTTTTTGCTTACATCTCGAAATGGTCGTCACAATTTGGTTCCATGGCTGACACAAATATTATCTAACAGGAAATTAACCATCGCAAATTTCGTACTCCATGTTAGTCATGTGTTTACCGAAATAAGTTCCAGGGGAAAATGCAGTAATAACGAAAACGTTCACAGAATTGATACAAAAATGCAGCAGATACCGATGGTGGTTGATCCGGATGTTGTTCACCGACACCACCATTACCATCCTCTAGATACAGGAACAGATGAAAAGAGAGTGATATTAATGATTTGAAAGAAAAAGTTATAATTGATTCAGGCGTCAGTCGGACACCACTTTTGAACTCAGACAACAGAGCATACCTTTTGGTTTGGTTGCTGTGAGGCTAGGCATGGCTCTGCAGTAGGAGGTGTGTTAGATTGTGGTGGGCACTAATTGCAGTTCTGCGGCGGCAGGTGGCGATGTCTTTGTGACACTGAATGCGGTTCTGCAGGTCGACAGAAAATCCGAGGTGTTTGGTGCGATCTTTAGTCGGGCGGTTTGTGTACTCAGGTGTATGGGGTACAAGTTGATAAAAAGAGATGTTGCCACTTAGTACTATTAGCTGTTCACAAGGCGACAAATCGAGCAAATAAACAAGTGTTGAAGTTTTAGTGCCAAATTTTTATAGTATTTACTTTACTGCAACATATAAAGTGAATTGGCGTCCATTTGGGAAGTGTTTATCTTGTCATGTTACATACATATGGCGATACTCGCTAAAAGCATACTTATAACCAGTGGGCATTAGCTGTTACGCGTTTCATTTGAATGGATGTGATGGTAGCGCCTGGAAACCCCAGGGCTTCTACATACGTACTACCTACTCCCTAATGTCGTCTATTGCAGGACCAGAACGGTTAAATAGAGCTTGTTCCGGACATCAAAGTCATACCAACACCCAGGGATGACACCTTTCATTCATAAAACGCCATTGTACAGTCCCAACAAACACACTAGATTAAGGACTCTCCTTTTATTTCTACGCCCCTATCTGTATAAGATCCTGATAACGACTTCCAAACACCATGTCAACTCTCTAATACACAGAGATACCTGTCCACAACTTTGCCAGTCAATTTTGAGTACCACAACTGTAACATGTTTGTAGTATTCTATACAATATCTAATACTTGAGACTTTAGTAATGAATGATGAGTTTCACAACTGAAACGTATGCCTTTCGGTTGTCCACATGGATCTTTCTTTTGATTTAAATTATATGCAAATGTTATCTTTACAAGATAATGTATATTTGTTTCCTAAATACTTACTTGGGATTTATAACTACAGAGAACTACGATAATTTTAGATATGTGAGGAAAAGTAGGATGTAAACAGCAGCAGTATTGTGCGGGTATGACCGATGATTTACAAGAGAACAGCGCCACCTGTCGGAGATAACAGACCCTATTATTGTGTGGACTTGTGATGAAGAATTACCTGTCGGCGCCTGGCGAGGTAACCCGCCCAATCTACGGTTTGGTCGAAATTAGCCGGCTAGATTAGACATTTTACGTTGTGTTTCTTTTATTACACGTAGACTAGCTTGTAGGATACAGACAGTTTCTTTGGTGAGTTTACGATGGTAAATCACATATATATATATATATAATATTAATGATACATGCGTGAGTGTAATAAAATGCCAATATGTCCCTATAAAGGTTTTAAGAAATAAATCTTTGTATACGTGCTTTGGATAAGATTAATACATGTGTACGTGAATGAAAGGTTGGTAGATAATCCCTTTCGTTGTCATAACATTGAGCGTACTGAGGAGAATACAAACAAACCAAAAATAGGAGAAGACGAAACAATATATGTGTATCTTAGATGTATATGTGACTAAGTCGGTATATATTAGGGTGGTCGGGTAGCGCACTGGTAACGCACTCGCCTTTCACTCAGGCGTCCGAGGTTCGATTCCCAGAATGGATGAGAAAAGGTATGGGGTCACCTGCCGACCATGTGGGTTTTCCCCGGGTACTCTGGTTTCCTGTCACAATAAGACCCTGAACAAAAATGAACTGACAATTTGTGGAAGATTTCGGAACATATCTAAACATATCTAATTGTGCTTTATAAATTCCTTTAAAAAGTCTCACCATTTGTCATAAAACACTGCTTACTTCGCTATATTTAAGTATCATTCGACCTTCTCTATATCTTTTACTGTTTACAACTGTCAGGCAGGTACATGACATAGAATGATAGAGTGAAGACACTGACGGTACAAAGAGTTCACTCATTGTTGGAGCATTTTAAGCAAAATTGATATCGATAATTTATTCACAAATGGTACATAATGTGTCTGTAATATAGAAAGCCTTTTTGTGTTATATAATCTTCTTTATCAGTAGTTTCTGAGAAGTACTTTTTACCCGAAAACTAGTTCAACGGAAATGTTCATGTACCTTGTTTGACTGACTTTTCAAGATCAAAAGGGTCAAATGTCCAATTACCTAAGGGTCGTGATATTTGACTTTCGATATATGGCTTGCACACAATTTATAAACCAACGTAGTCTTCTTTGTAAGTTGCAGAACAAATGAGTGTTTTTAACCATCGGGCGCTTGTTTATAATAGTTATCCTTAAACAGTGTTTAGTATTACAAACTATCAACACTGGCCGCGTTAAATGCAGAATAATACCTAGGCATATGCAAGATTATTTCTTTAATCGACGATGAAAAGATTGCCCACGAGGCAGTCATCTTGAATTTAAAGGGATACTCCGCACAAGATTTCATGGAATACTTTCGAAGAAAACTGTAAGAATAATCATCTATTTATGTTCTAATGAAAATCGTAAATCTCGATTTACCATTTAAACAAAGGTGATATTTCTTTTGAGAAAATTCGTTATAGATCGAGACAGATAGATTTACAAACATTTACGCGTCTCTGATTGCGTAATCACAGGTTTGCGTTTTTATAAGCTGAACAGAATGAAATATTTGTGTAAATTATAAAATCAGTAAATTATAAACCTAATGAAGTGATTTTAACCCCAGCAGAAATTTTAGTGAACAGTATACACACTTGTGTATTTACCGAATATTCTACAAGAAATCTATGATCAAGTGACCTTTCAGTTCCGGATTTCCCAACACCCTATATTTACGAAGTTGGTCTGGGAGCATTCCCATCAATTTTGCATATCCAACCTGACCACAGAAAAGATATATTGATGCTAACAGCAGTTTTAAAAGTCATTAGAATGAGTAAAAGGGTAGAGAACATCCACAAACTTTGTAACTTGTGCGGAATATCCTTATAAAGCATATATTATTTCTCACACCATCAAAATCAGGACTTTCGCTAATTCTGCCCATGATAAGGGCATTGCAAGCTAAATAACGGGACTGCTTTTTTTTTAACGATATCATTGTTGGAAAAAAGCATCATCGTGGAATCCCCCTAGTCATCGGATGGCACAGTAGGATCGCAAACTGGATTGCCTGACGTAGTTTTCCTACTCTCCTATAGACTTCGCTTCGGAGTTGCAACGTGCGCAGTCTAGCAGAGAAATGTTGCAACTAAAGCAGGTAATACATTCTGAGTAAGAAGTCACGTTTTCACTATACGTCCGCGGGTCGATTCTATGAATAGGTGTGAAAAGATTTGAAGTCATCTGTCTGAACATGTGTATTTCTCCGGTACTCCTGTGTCCTCTCTCTTGATTTTCCATCCGGGCCAACAAGAGGGGTTATCTTCAGATGGAATAACGGGTTTCGCAATTATTGAAAAATGCCTAATAATGGACATTCTTTAAAATAAGCTGGAAATGAGATTGGTTCAGATAAGCTTAAATATATAAGCGAAAACGATGCTAGTTTTCTTGTGAGTTGATTAAGATGATTGACATAAACCGATGTGACAAACGAAGAGACGAGTTTTTAGGTGAATTAAGAAAATTGATAAAAATGAATATTTTCCTAATAAAGATAATATTGACATTTTAGGTAAACTGAGGACAGTCAATCCTACTTTAACCGAAGAACATTACCTGTGACGAGTTTGAAGTTTGAATTTGACGGAAACAAATAATAGAAATCCAGAGAGACGAGGATCTTAAGATGAAAGTAGAAATGCGTGTTTTCCTCTTCCCTGTGATGGTGTATATCTGATGCGTTTGAGTTCAGACAGAAATAAGAAATGAAGCGTTCTTACATCTATAAGTTGTTACCTATACATAAATATTTACTTATTTCACCCAAATCTGCATCATACCTGTGATCTCTTGTCGTGCCGGCGTATACGTGCATGCCATAGACTGCTGCATAGCTCCAAGAATAAACATCGCAAGTAAAGCAAGCTCCATCTCGAAAAAATAACAGACTTCCAGGACATGCACTATCGGAAACACAAGTGCACAATGATGAGACCAATGGTTCTGACCAGTGTATACGGTGCCTAGGTAATAAGGCGTCTTGCTAGTGTCAACCAGCCCAATGCGTCTGTCAAGGTCGTTACGTGGCCTCAATCAGCCGTGCACATTATTCGGTATCACGGGATTGATCTGCTCTACAGGTCAACGCTATGATGTACATTTTTTGAAGTAAGGTCACGCTGAACTGCAGTTGCCTGTCACTGCCACCGTGACGTAACACGGGACGTTGTCTGACGTTTTCCCCCTGACTTGCTACGCATAACGATGACTGGAGCTCACATCGATAAAACTGTCGACTTTAAATAATGACATGATTAAAATCCTTGGTTCTCAGATACAGACGTTATATGGCCGATAATGAGTGACATTTGTATATCGAGTTTTTACTAACGTCTGCTGACAGTCTACTGTACGCAATAGCCGGCGGCGTTACATCAGTGTTACGTGACCAGAGAGAAATGTTGTTTTAGACAAGTTTCAGTGTATTGCCATCAAAATAATAATAGTAAAAAATCATCTTTCATGATTCAAAAACATTATATTTTTAGAATACGGTTTAATACGTTCCAAATGGGTGTAATTTACATGTATGAATTGTTTGTGTTTAAGGTGTCTGGTTGGATATGGATGATATTTTATAATATTTAACTAGCGAAGACCACGTCTACTACTGGTTAAATTGATCATAGTAGCGGAATATTGTGAGATATATTACATACACGTGTTGATATCCTGTGTTCTAAGGCCATTATTTGCCAGAAGTTATCTATTCAATGTAAACGTGAATAATTTATTTTCAATATATTTTTTTTCAATTCTATGTCGGATGTTGATTCAGGGAATTTTCAATTCCGTGTATTGCATTTTCATCCATTTTTAATCGGGACCAATTTTACAATTGTCTTGTTCAGAGACTATTTGAAGAAATACAGTATATAAAGTGCTGGGGAACGGTATGGTGGGAAATGAATTACAACTTATGATTAGAGATGAGGTATGGTATGGTTGGGAAATGTTGACATGTTTACCGATATTTTAGTATCCACTTAATTTCCTTGTACATGTTCAGTACGTTATCGTTTAGTGTTACCTTTTTACGTTAGCCTGTAAACACAGTATTACAGGTATTCTGACAATACCAGTAGTCCGGCTTTATCCTCGAGGCACGAGTGGTCACTTCAGACACGTGTCACTTTAATTGACTGGACAAGTCTAACAAGAAAGTAAGAGATGGTCACTATCAATCATTCAGATTCTGTGTTTATGCCCTTTTCTGAAACGACCGATGTGATTTATCTTTGAATCGAACCATCTTGTCTGCAACTTTGGTTATGAAAGCATCCTCGAACATATCACAATAATTTGGATATTTGCTAAATAGCTTTATAGATACACCCATGAAAAAATCAGAAGCTGAACAAGATGCTAGCCTCGTTAATGCTTTCAAATGTTCAGTTAGTAAATTAGTCCCAACAACTTTAAATTGATATGGGACGTCATTTATATAGCTCTTTGTGAAGAGTGGAGCAAAAATGTAGTCCATCGTAGTATCTTTCCGTCATGGGTTCACGGCAGTTAGGTTTGTCGTACGTTGTAGTTGATCGGACGAAGTGTGGTTTAAGTGAAGCGTTCTTCTCCAGTCCTGACTCTATTTTCATGGGGAAAGAAACGCAAGTGGAAAGAAAGTAAATTAATCGGAAAAAGTGGACAACGGAGCAAACGAACGGTTTGATAGCTTCCGCTTCTAGTTTGATATTTGATACATTGATAACAGGAAACGTAACTCTGAAAATAAACCAGCTTTATCAAAATAAAACTCTCTGATGTAGAGGAAGGCTGTGTCTACATGTACGGGCATATAACTAAGCCTCACTGACATAGAGGAAGGCTGTGTCTACATGTAAGGGCATATAACTAAACCTCACTGACATAGAGGAAGGTTGTGTCTACATGTACGGGCATATAACTAAGCCTCACTGACATAGAGGAAGGCTTTGTCTACATGTAAGGGCATATAACTAAACCTCACTGACATAGATGAAGGTTGTGTCTACATGTACGGGCATATAACTAAACCTCACTGACATAGACGGTTATATAACTAAACCTCACTGACATAGAGGCAGGCTGTGTCTACAGGTACGGGCATATAACTAAACCTCACAGACATAGAGGAAGGTTGTGTCTACATGTACTGGCATATAACTAAACCTCACTGACATAGAGGAAGGTTGTGTCTACATGTACGGGCATATAACTAAACCTCACTGACATAGAGGAAGGTTGTGTCTACATGTACAGGCATATAACTAAACCTCACTGACATAGAGGAAGGTTGTGTCTACATGTAAGGGCATATAACTAAGCCTCACTGACATAGAGGAAGGCTGTGTCTACATGTACGGGCATATAACTAAACCTCACTGACATAGAGGAAGGTTGTGTCTACATGTATGGGCATATAACTAAACCTCACTGACATAGACGGTTATATAACTAAACCTCACTGACATAGAGGCAGGCTGTGTCTATAGGTACGGGCATATAACTAAACCTCACTGACATAGAGGAAGGTTGTGTCTACATGTACGGGCATATAACTAAACCTCACTGACATAGAGGAAGGTTGTGTCTACATGTACGGGCATATAACTAAACCTCACTGACATAGAGGAAGGTTGTGTCTACATGTACGGGCATATAACTAAACCTCACTGACATAGAGGAAGGCTGTGTCTACATGTACGGGCATATAACTAAACCTCACTGACATAGAGGAAGGTTGTGTCTACATGTACGGGCATATAACTAAACTTCACTGACATAGAGGAAGGCTGTGTCTACAGGTACGGGCATATAACTAAACCTCACTGACATAGAGGAAGGTTGTGTCTACATGTACGGGCATATAACTAAACCTCACTGACATAGAGGAAGGTTGTTTCTGCCACCTCTGCCCATGTAGGATAGACATGTCCCATGTGGAACACCCATGGAGGATAAATCTATCCCACTTGACTGCATTCGGTGACCTCAGTCGGCTATCACAACTGACTCAAACCGACGAGTGGATGCTTTGTTTTCAGGTTCCGTAATGCGCGACTGTAACATCACAGTTAACAATCCTTGTCCAGTGAACACAAATAAACGTCGGAGGATCATCTATGACTCTGATTCTGAATGAACACACGCGTGACACTCACACCATTGCAATTTTTCGCGCGCATACACAATTGACGTCATTATAAAATGGGAAATCCCCTTTTTGTCCATGACATCGAGGCAAGCCTACCCTAAGTTAATAAACGATACGGAGTTAAATGTTGTTCAATACAAGTATTTCCATGTATCTATCGCTAATTAAAATATTTAATTTCCAAAAAATAAATATTTCTAATGGTTATTCATATTGCGTTTGTAGTCTGTCATTTTGCTCTCGCGGAAGAATATAGAATTTTGGAAACGTGAATGGTGATGTTCATGCGACATTCAGACACTTGTACCGTTTTTTTTACGTCGTGGCGGAAATAATTGGGTACATAATGTAACCCTAATCCAGCCGATGTCCTAAACCAGCCGATTAGGGACAGTATGGTTGGCTAACACGTTATACAAATACTTGTAACCCTAAACCAGCCGATTAGGGACAGAATGGTTGTCTAACACGCTATACCAATACTTGTAACCCTAAACCAGCCGATTAGGGACAGTAAGGTTGGCTAACACGTTATACCAATACATGTAACCCTAAACCAGCCGATTAGGGACAGACAGTATGGTTATGGTTGGCTAACACGTTATACACGTTATACCAATACATGTAACCCTAAACCAGCGATGGTTGGGACACTAAACCAATACATGTAACCCTAAACCAGCCGATTAGGGACAGTATGGTTGGCTAACACGTTATACAAATACATGTAACCCTAAACCAGCCGATTAGGGACAGTATGGTTACCAATACTAACACGTTATACCAATACATGTAACCCTAAACCAGCCGATTAGGGACAGTATGGTTGGCTAACACGTTATACCAATACATGTAACCCTAAACCAGCCGATTAGGGACAGTATGGTTGGCTAACACGTTATACTAATACTTGTTACCCGAAACCAGCCGATTGGGGACAGTATGGTTGACTAACACGTTACACCAATACATGTAACCCTAAACCAGCCGATTAGGGTCAGTATGGTTGGCTAAAAGGTTATACAAATACTTGTAACCCTAAACCAGCCGATTAGGGACAGTATGGTTGGCTAACACGTTATACCAATACTTGTAACCCTAAACCAGCCGATTAGGGACAGTATGGTTGGCTAACACGTTACACCAATACATGTAACCCTAAACCAGCCGATTAAGGAGAGTATGGTTGGCTAACACGTTATATTAATACTTGTAACCCTAAACTAGCCGTTTAGGGACAGTATGGTTGGCTAACACGTTATACCAATACATGTAACCCTAAACCAGCCGATGAGGGACAGTATGGTTGACTAACACGTTATACCAATACATGTGACCCTGAACCAGCCGATTAGGAACAGTATGGTTGACTAACACGTTATACCAATACATGTAACCCTAAACCAGCCGATTAGGGACAGTATGGTTGGCTAACACGTTATACCAATACATGTAACCCTAAACCAGCCGATTAGGGACAGTATGGTTGGCTAACACGTTATACCAATACATGTAACCCTAAACCAGCCGATTAGGGACAGTATGGTTGGCTAACACGTTATACCAATACATGTAACCCTAAACCAGCCGATTAGGGACAGTATGGTTGGCTAACACGTTATACCAATACATGTAACCCTAAACCAGCCGATTAGGGACAGTATGGTTGGCTAACACGTTATACCAATACATGTTATACCAATACACTAACCCTAAACCAGCTAACACGTTATAC